CAAGAGTCTCTAAAACAATCCACCCAACTAGTTTTTGGCATGTTTAAAAAAAATCTCCCACTGCTTCTCATTACATAGACAGCTTTCCTTACTTCGCTTAAGCTTACACAGGAACCTACGTATAGAGGAATCTATATAAATGAACAGTATAGAATTTCTTTAACAAGGTTTCTTGAATTTCATTGCGGCCTCTGAAGAATTTTCTTCTAGTTTATCAAATTTTAGACATAAAAACAAACCACTTGAATCCACGCGCCCGCCTGGTCCTCTTAGAATGGCAAGCCAATTATCTCTTTATATAGATTTAAATTCTCAGGCTATTTAATCAAAGCCTTTTACATTTCCAAAATGAAATCGTTGTTCCAAGAAAATTTTACACTAATTGCGAACACATTCTGTTAAAGCAATTGGCAAGTTAACCCGTGAAAAGAGACTATTTTCGTTCAAATTGTTCACAGTTAACACTGCAAATACAATTCCTTCGTCTTTAAATTTACTTACTAACTCCATCAGTTTTGACTTTGGTGTAATTTGGTATTTTTTAAACCGATAAGCCGTCGTGTCACCAGTCATCACGTATCCTACCTCACTTCTTGAACAATACAATCGTTCTTTTATGATGATGTTCCACATGAAATCTATAATCGATATAAATGATATCACAAAGTATCGATTAATAATCGGTAAAATTGTATATCAATAACAACTAAAATAAATTACAGTACTTAAACAGCTTTATTTCAATTTCCAAAGTTTAAATTGATGGAAATCCAATGAAGCATTTAGAAATCGTTTAATCGTTTTTAACATAATAATAAGCGTTACTTATTTATGTAATTATAGTAAATTATTAACATAAATAACATACTTTAAAAATAAATAAATAAATGATGAATTTACATTGTGTTGGAACTAACAAAAGTACATTATTTTTATAATTTCAATAAAGATGTGTCACTCACATAATAGAAAGTCAATATAATTTTAGAAAATTATTAAATTGTAATTCGTGTATAATTATTAAAATTTCTAACTTTTTCAATTAATAATAGGAAACCGCTGTGATTCACATTAAAAATTTTTTTTCTTAATTTTAATTAGAAAAAAATTATATTTAAAAGTATAATTTGTTATGTTAATCTATGCAGTTATATTACAGAAATTATTTCTTACATAATCATAATGTTTACAGTTTTAAATGAATTTAGTAATATTATTTATAAGGAAAATTAAGTGCTTTTGTGAATTTTAAATACGAACGTAATGTTTCTAAGGCCATGATTGGCATTACTGATGTTTTCCATTAATTAATACGAATGATACAGCATTTGGCTCAATGAAACATCAAATGGAAATTTTAATTTCTTTATTAATTAATTTAGTACGTATTTAATTTATCAGTAAAGTTAAATAGTGATTTTAAAACCCTATAATCAGTGGCTCATTATAGTTTCTTGGAGCTCAGGCAAATTAGAATTAGGGATCCCATTTACTATACAGTGTTGACTTTCTTTCGTCACTGCCTATAATCCTATTATTGATTATCTGAACGAATTTATTGTCACTTTAAGTACGTTTGAATAGTTAAAAGTTGATTAATAGTCCCATATAAATAGGAATAACATTTATTTGATAATTGTTTTCGAAGTTTCTACTAAAGTGTATGCATTAAAGAAGTATTACCTGTTAGGAATGTATTATTCTGTCTTAAGATTTAATTTAAATTTTCCATAGATTTTAAATAAAACTTTAACACTTTAATGCTTATGATTTATATAAACATTTCCAACAAATAGAATTACTTATTGCTTTTTTTTAATGTTAAAATCATTGATTATAAACTATTAATTGATTAGAATCGTGATTATTTCCTTAGACGATATAAGATTAAAGTTTTATTTCCTTAGGTGTTAATTTACGAATGAATTTCGCTTGTCTTGTAAAATCTTATATTTTCTATTTAAATATATTTTTATATATTAATATTAAATTTATTTAAATAGAAAATATAAGATTTTACAAGACAAGAGGAAGTTCGAGAAGCGAAATTAACATCTAGAGAAATAAAACTTTAGAAATGACTGGAAAATCAATCAAACTTTGATTAAACTTATAAAATATAATCTTTATATAAAGACCAAACTCACGATAGTTAAACTCCATTTATTTTCGAGAATTATTATCGTTTTTTTTATCCTCAAAAGTCATCTAATATATTTTCAAGAGTAACCATATATTTTTCAAGTACCTTAGAAAAACAATAATAATAATAATAGACTATTCATTATAAAATCGTTTACTTTACGAAAAAACGAACATTATACTGTATTACTCTACTAATTATTTATGATAATATACAAATATATTCATAAATAATTAAGGATATGATGTAAAAAAGATCTAAACAAGGAAATTTCAGTATATTCTGAAAATAATTACAAAATATTATTTACGTAAAGATATATCCGTATTTTAGAAAGATTAAGCAATTTATAATTTCGTATTACAATGAATCAATTGATAAAACTTTGAAATTTATTGTATATGATTAATAATTTACGAAATTTACAAAGTCACAACGTTAAATATCATTGTAAACTTATAAAATTCTGATGAAACTTAAGCGTAGTTACTTTCATTTGATTAATTTATATATGAATTAATACAAAATTGCAATGATTTCTTATCAAAATGTTAGTTATATCCCTTAATATTTTATAATTTATTTTAAAGAAGAAATGTTTTATATTAAATTGATGAAGGGAATGATAAACGAGAACGAAATTTTACATCTTTTAATAAATTTTAATATACATAAATATAATCATAAATAATTAAGTATATTTATATTTTATTCTGTTATGTATTAAAAGTATAATTTCGAAAAATAGACAAAGCATTTTCTCTTATTAACTCTTCTTATATTCTTCGAAGATCTATCTTAAACATTTTCATTTCCCATTTGTAATCTAATCAGTAGAAATAAACATGTGTTTCCTGGTTAACAGACAATATTATGAAGTACCGCAGCTATTAATAAATAGAACTAAGACAAAGAAATAAATTGTAAGTAAAGAAATCTTCAATTTTTGTATATATATAAGTAAGTTATTATCAACTTGTGATAATGTGAGTGCAATTAGGAAGATATTTTATAAAAATTTAGAAGGATTTTAAAGTAATTTTATATTAATGAATAAAGATAATTATAGAATAGATAAAATGTAGTTAGTATTTTTACTAAATCCATCCTTTTTCACATTAAAATATCTGAAAATAAGAAAATTATTGATATATTTATATACACTTTAATATGCAAGATTATTAAAATATTCTATTATACTTTACACTACATATTTATTATAAATACTTTAATCGTAAAACCACAAAAAAATTAACAAATAAATAATAATCTATTAAGAAAAATATAGATTTTTACATACAGTCGACCCCCTATAACACTGTTGATTATTCCGTGTTATATGAATTCCATGTTGTACGAGTCACTTAGATTTTACAAATACGTGTGCTGGACTGTGAACGGCTCAAGTATTTGTAAAATCTAAGTGACTCGTACAACATGAAATTCATATAAAACGAAATAATCAACAGTGTTATAGGGGGGGTCGACTGAATATTTTCTTATAAAATATTTTTTCACGTGTATTATTTTGTTAAGGAAATGATCTAAATTAAATATAAAAATATAGAATTGACGTCGTTAAACGAGGTTAAAAATTTCTAACAATATCTTATTATTTTATAAATTCTTCATAGTAGTAATAATATAATCTTCTAAATATCCGGGATGTTTTATATATTTTACTTTTTAAATATTTAATAGTAATCTTCTTTTGCATAACCTACTTTTATAAAGGAAACGTATTTATATTCTCTTGTGTAATAATAATAATAATAAACACAAGTTATATCCTTCACGTATAAAAAAAATTACAGTAAAAACAATACGATTTTTATATAATATTTATCGAATTATTGTATTAAATTTATACGAAGATGTGTGGTTTATCATTTAATTCCACGTCAAATAAACTGTGACATTTTAAATCCAATAGTCGGATTTTTACCACCTGAAATTTATCTACTTAAATGTTTGTTTACTGAAAAGTATATAAATTTTGACTTGATCTTGATATAAAGCAATCCTTTACAAGTTTACATTTAGGCTATACCGTAACAACTAATAAAAGATAGTATGAATAGCTACCATCTCTCTGTATAAAATAAATTGCAAACAAACACTTGAATATCTTACACCAACAGTACAATATATTATGTATCACATGGAAAGAAAATAAGGAAATTTACTTTCCTTATATTGATATTGACATTCTTTATGAATGAATACAAATCTCGATTTATAATATAATTAAAATATATATATATATATATATATATATTATACTTTAAAACATAAGATTTGAAATGTAAACTTATTTAGTACTAATAAGCAAATTAAGTGGTATTATTTATTAAACTAAAAGTATAGAAGAGATAACAATAGATGTGTTCGTATTAATATAGAAAATATATTAAACGATAAACAAAAGGAAAAAATATATAATTTGTGCCTTTAAATTGAATATCAATTGATAATTTTAATTTTCGTAGGATGAAACATTGCAGTAGATGTTTTTTTTTCTAACAAAAATTACAGATACAGATACCTGGTATATTTATTCCTTTGACAGAAACCCACGATGAGCTCCTCCTATTGGACAAATTCTAAGTAAAAGCAAGCTGTAGCTGCATCTTCTGTCACAACTCTGCTTTTACTTAAGGTGATAAAGTGTCAAGCTCAAGTAAGTATGCATTCGATGATATAAAATGATAGAGTTTTATAAATAATACTATACAAAACATATTAGTGTATTTTAATACTTAAAAAAAATATATATATATATATTGTTTTTCGAAACTTTCTTCTTAATCTTCTTATATTTTAAAAATAGTTTTTTTTTTGTTTTTATATTTTAGTTATGAGGCCATCAGTTGCTGTATTGTCGTTGACTTTGATGATGCTATTTGTATCGGGTTCTCCCGGTGTTCTTTCTGTTCCGGTTAGAACTTGTATTATGTAAGTAAACTTAAGAAATTAATTAATTCGTATTGTACTTTTTACCCAATTATTTTATATATTTTTTTTTATACGTTGAATTCTTTTTTATATATTTAATATACGTCTATTATACTTATATAGAAAATCAGATAAATTTTTATCGTTAATAAAATTCTGTATTCTGTAATATTAGTTCTATGATTCGAAGTGTTTAAGATTAAGTGTTTGTTTTAGTTTAAAATTGTAAAATAAAATTAAAAAAATGATAATTTTTTAAACAGAAATTGTGGCCAATGTAAGAAGATGTACGGAGAATATTTCATGGGACAAAGATGCGCCGAAGAATGTTTGAAAACCAATGGTTTAATCTTTCCTGATTGCAACGAACCGAGAACAGTCATGAGATACTTGCGAAGATTGTCTTAATTTTATCCATGTTTCTTTCAACAATTTACTTATGTTTTTTATTTTTATTTTACTTTAAACGTTATATATGAATATTTTCCACAATATATATATACGTATATAATTATATATTTTAATTTATTCATTTTAAAATTAAGAAAATAAAGTATTAATTTATATAATGTAACGAGAGTTTAAAATATATGGAGTTATTTGTTGATATACTTTCATTACATTTAGAAAACGATACTCACGCGAAACTTATATTATCTCTTCTTACGATATTAAGAAATAAAATTCAATACAATTACGATATATTTTTTCCAGACAAAAAAGTAATTCTGTACGTATCTAAAACCGATTAAAGATCTAAACTAATCTTATTTAAATTTAACAAAAAAAAAAAA